TACACTTTATGTTACTATAAAGATATATAATGTTTTTCTGCACTTCCTGTGTGCCAGGCACTATACCAAGTGAGATGCATGTATTAACTCATGTAATTTCTCCCAATAAACCTTTGAAGTGGGCACTTTAAAAGGATTATCCCATTTTATGGATGAGGAAATTAAGACACATAAGGGCTGGATAATTTATGCACCTAGAAGGGGGATTCAAACCCAAGTAGCGTGACTCCACATTCTCCACCACTGCGCTATACAGTTACCTTGCACTTACCTGGGTCTACAGGAATACTTTTATGCACAGTGACAAAGAGTAACCAATACCATTGCAAAGAGATACAAGGTTCGAGTGGTGGCCTATGTGCACTCCCTAATCGCTTGATTCCACACACCAGCCTCGCAGGGCCCAATTTTCAAATGTTCACCTCAACAAAAAGGCAAATTCCTCCGTATCATTGACCTCCATGATTTATTACAAATAGTTGGAACAGTGACTGTTGAATCCATGAAAGCTAGAGCTGTACTTTATCTGATGTTTTGGATTAATCTGTTCTTCCTCCATTCATGTATTTCTCCTTTTGGATTTCATTTGCTAATCATCTAGTGGTGCTAAGAGAATTTCTTGTGAACTCCCTGTATAACTGTTGTTTATTCATTCTTAGGTATAAAATGGTGTTCTGTGGAATGAAATAAATGAATTGTGGCGGATTGGAGAAAAATGAACTTGCTGTTACACATCCTGTCCATAATTTTTTAAAAATTTCTCCCAGATAATTGAGCTAAGGTTCAATCCCTTTTATTTCCTTCAGTACTTCAGCCAAAATAAGACAGACTGCAAAAAAAAAAAAATGCTGGTGATATTTTTTTTCTTATTTTTTGTCTGAATGTTATACTGTCACTTAAATGCTAGTTAGGAATATAAACACTTCAGCTTAGTTTTTCTCTTGTGAGCCCTTTCTTTTCCCCCTTGTAAGCTCCTTCGGAATTCTGTCATCAACGTGGGCCCGATCATTTCTTCCACTAACTAACTTTTCATTTACTGCATTCATTAATATCTGCTGCATGTACACCACACACGTTTAAAGTGCCCATTTCAAGCACTGCCATTTATTCTCTTAGAAATGCATCATTACCTAAAAGAATAAACCTTTCAACCTGTATCAGCAATCAAAGCGCTCAAGTAAATGGTGAAATAAATGAGTCCAAATTATAGTGCACTCTGATCAGAATTCATGGACCCCTTTGCCCTTGGCTTATAAATTTATCTTTAGAAGCAATGGTCTGTTTTCAAATAGTGTAAGAGATAAATTGTTCTAACCCCCTCCCTCTTTCACTCAGGTCTGATTGGCCCAAGATGAAGAACACAAAATACCTCTTTGTAAGTGCGCAAAAAGACATACCCACCACAGCATTGTCTATAATGCCAAAAAAATGGAACTGACCTAAGAGTCCTCCAATAGGGGATTGAGTAAATAAAGTATAGCATATTCTTAGATTGAAATGCTATGCAGCCATTATAAAGGAGATAATTTTATTCTTGTAAAAGTCTAAAGAGATGCAAGGGAAGGATAAAGACCAAATTCAGTATAGTGGTTACTTTTGGCCCAGAGAGAAGGGTATGCAATTAGGAAGGGGTACATAAGCACACTTCAACTAGCTTCATAATGTTTTATTTCTTAAGTTTTGTGGCAGGTACACAGGTGTTCTTACATTATTTTTTATATCTTTCTATACATCTGAATTATTTACTATTTTTTAAAATTCTATGAGCAACCAACTAGGAAATTCCTACTGAAATAAGTCATTGAGAATCTATTTCATTATGATTCTTAGAAGTTGTTTTATGTGTCAAATGAGGCTAATGTGATATGAAATGAGCATAAATGTCAATGGACAAGATTTCAATCTTAGAAGGCCTTGATTATTAGGGGGGAAAGTTATTGGTGTGGACGTCAAAGGCAGGCTAAGTGGCAAAAAAAAAAAAAAAGGATTATAAAGCATATATCCTGAATGGTTTAGCTGGAAATTGGACCCAATGATCTTTACAGTAACTTTATCTTTAGAATTCTATAGAATGAAACTAGTGCTGGTAGCCATTTTTCACCAATCTTCTGACACCTTTGACCAACAATCTAGTTTTCACTCTGATCAGGCCTAATCTTCAGTTATTAAGCAAATATATCTTGAGTGCCTACCATGTATCAGGCATTGCACTGGCTGCCAAGAGGGCTACCAAAATGAATCAGGCATGGATTTTGTCCTCAAGAGCACCCAGTAATGTGGGGAAGACAGACACATAGCCAACTCACCGTAATGCAATGCAGTAAGCTCTATAGCAAAGATAAAAGCAAAGTGCTTTGGGAAGACAGCAGGGGAAGCACTTCTGTGGAGGCAGGAGAGTCAGGAAAGACTTCACAGAAGACGTGGTATTTGCTCTGGATCTTGTAGGATGAATAGGGATAATTCAGGGAGAACCAAAAGTATAACCAAAGGCGTAAGACATGAAAGTGAAAGCATATTTCAGTGAACAGTGAGACGTCCAGTGTGACTGGACTATAGGAGAGTGCTGTCAAGATCATAAAGACGCTTCAGTATCATACATAAGAGTTGGGATTTTGTCCTGTAGGTATTAGGGAACTATCAGAGGATTTTAAAGAATGAAGTAACTTGATCAGATTTACATTTCCGAAGGATCACTGGAGGATAAATTGAAGAAAGAGATGAAGCTGGGAGAGCAGTTAGGAGGCAATGTGGTCCAGACCAAAACCTGATGGGAGCCTGCCCCAGGGCAATGATAATGAGAATGGAAAGAAAACAAAAGGAAAGATCCTACAGGCATTTCTGTGTTAGAATAAACAGGGCATGACAGAGGCTGAGAAAGGAGTAAAAACCAAACTTTCCAGCTTGGATGTCAGGAGGTTTACTGATAGAATTTGGAAAGAGAACCAGGCCTTACAAGGAAGATAGTAAGTTTAGTTTGGGAACGTTTAATCTGAAAGTGTCTATAGGACCATCAGATGGAGATATGCATCAGCAAGTCTTGTTTGTTGTCTTGCCAAAACATATCTTGAATCCAACCTCTTCTCTCTCCCTCCACTGCACCCCGCCTAGTCCAAGCCACAACCGTCTCTCCCCTGGAATATTAGAATAGCCTCCTAACCAACCTCCTTGCTTCCACTCTGGCCCATCTTGTAGTCTATTCTCCATATAGCAGCTAGAGTAGTGCTTTAAAAACTTCAATCAGATCTTATCACACCCCTCCTCGAAATCCTCCAATAGTTTCCTATCACATATAGAATAACCCCAAACTTTTTACTGTGACCTACAGGGCCCTACAACTTATGTCCTCTGATTATCCTTCTAAGCTCATTTCCTACCATTCTCCTTTTTGCTCATTCAGCTTCAGTCATATTGGCCTTTTTGGGGATTTTTTTTTTTTTTGCTGTTCTTTATGCAAACCAGGCATATTTCCATCTCAGTGAACAGTTTCAGTGACTCAGTGAGGGCCTCAGTGAGGGTCTGACTGCCATAAACACAGTGTTTAATTTGCATGGTGATAGCTCTGGCAGTTCCAGCCCTCTGTAATTATTTGAGCAGGTCCAAACAGGCCTCAAGAAAGAGCAATGCAGCTGGCCAAAGTCTGGAGAAAAGCAACTAAATAAAAATCAAAAAAGTTGAGATATGGGCCAGTAAACCCCATAAAAGGAAACTTGAAAACATGGTATGTATGTTTATAGTTTCTACCATGCTATCTTACCTATAGTCAAATACTGCTTTAGAGTTTTTCTCTAGGATTTTCCTTCCTAAGAACCTATCTCCCAATTCAATTGGAAGTCACGTGGTCATGACTTCCATGACCATGCTTCCTTTATATTCTCCAAAATGCCTAACAGAGAGCTGTAAGCATTTAGTACATGTTCTAAGGCCCACCTGAATTGAGATGAAATTTAATGGAGTTAAGTTCAAAATTCAAAAAGGTAAAGATGAAGGAAACTTTGTTTGGTAGAAAGAACTAACAGTTTTGGTTTGTCCTCAACCTGAGTTGAGGAAGGGACTCTCTTCACTCTATTATATTCTTTACACCCCCAGCAGAGTGCTTTATATATAGCAGGTCCTCAATAAATATTTTTTGAAAGGGTGGATGAAAGACTAAATACATTAATGCATACTCAGGCAGTGTTGATAGAAAATAATGCTCCAATGACAAGAAACAGTTTTTCTTTTCATTCTGTCCTTGTCATATATCTGGGGTGCCATGTTTATTTCTAGGAACTCCAAATTAAGAGAGACATCGCAAACTAGAATCCTATGGGAAAAAGACCAAAATTGTAAGGGTTCTGGAAATAGTATTAAACATCAGTAGAGTTTAATCTAATGAAGAGATGAAGAGGGGGCGTAACAACAGCCTTGCAATATTTGAAGGACCGTTGTGTAGAAGAAGGAACAGAATTGCTTTGCATAGCTCTAGCAGATAGTACTAAAGCGTGGGAGTTATAGAAAAACAAATTTCAGTTCAGAATAAGGAAGTACTTTCTTACAATAATTAATACCCCGTGTTGGAGTGAGCTAACTAAAATGGTTGTACATTCCCTTCCAATGGGCTTTTTTATCAGGCAGGTAAAGGGTAATCAGAGAGCAAGATATTACAGAGGAGATTTCTGAATTGAGAGGAAGATTGAACTAAGAAAGTGTTTTTCAAACTAGATTCCAACCCATTGGTATAGCCATGAAATCAACTTAGTGGGTCTTGACTAGTATTTATTAAAGTGAATTAGAATACAATAGAAACTATGTGAGAGCATCACACATAGCAAGGATGAGTGTGGTTTTGAAAAACTTATTTTGGAACCATATTTACATAGGTATGAATGTACCTACTGGGTCACAGCATAACATGCTTTTCTTACTCTGGATTACGATAAAAAATGTTTGAAAACCACTGCTCTGAGGCCTCTTCCAATTTTCATATCTGGTAGCTCTAAGAATTCTTCTCTCTGTTGCAGAGGTCCAAAATTGCTGTCTATGAGAAAATGTGGTCTTACATGAAATCAGCAGAGCCATCTGTGTTTACCAAAACAACAGCAGACGGAGTTGCCCGAGTGCGGAAGTCCAAGGGAAAGTTCGCCTTCCTGCTGGAGTCAACCATGAATGAGTACATTGAGCAGAGAAAACCGTGTGATACGATGAAAGTTGGTGGAAATCTGGATTCCAAAGGCTATGGTGTGGCAACCCCTAAAGGCTCAGCATTAAGGTGGGTGGAATAATATAACAATATCCGTGTTGTTATAGTATTCCACCTACCCTGATGCATTTTGTTGTCATTTTCTTTCTTGTGGATTTTGAGGTAACTTTTAAAAGTTTAAAACCTACAATATTCCATGGAGTTAAATAAGACGGTAAATTATGGTTTCATCTATTTAATGCATCCATTTTTTTAATGTTCTCTCTCTGTGTTGTCCTCTCTGACTGTTTGTTGCTGTTTTAATTTTACAGTTCAACGGCTTTTTCAATTTAAATGGTAAAAGCCAAGTTATGGTGCCATATGTGACGAATGTTAATTGCATGGATGTGGTGTTCTTGTTACTTTTTTTCTCAAAGACAATTTCCCCATCCCGCACACTTCAGTTTTGAGCAAATGTTATCCTCCATGCCACCTTCCAATATTTAACCCTGTATTTGCTGTACAGACATTTTTATAGCTCCACGTTCTGTGAAATTTAGCCAATTTGTCCTCTTGTGCTCCTTTTTATACGTTAACGATTTCCTAAGCATTTGTGCATTTTCTTACAAGTTATGTTTTATCGTTTCAAGAAATGCTGTTAACCTGGCAGTATTAAAACTGAATGAGCAAGGCCTCTTGGACAAATTGAAAAACAAATGGTGGTACGACAAAGGAGAGTGCGGCAGCGGGGGCGGTGACTCCAAGGTCAGCCTCAATGTCACCACAACCGGGTACCCTTAGTGACGAGTAATCGGCAAGACTGTTATCTTATTATTGAGGAGAGAGCACAAGACTCACACATCAAGTGGAATGACCAGGTTATTCCTCTGCCTGGCAGCTTTGGGAACCAGAAAGACTTCAGGGCACTGCCCACGTTTTTGATCTAACTCGGGTCCCTTCTTAAACTCCCAGACAGAGGCTCCCCATCCATATCCCCTCCCTCCCCTCCCACACCAGACTGCTTGCCTTAGGAAGGCCATGGTGTGGGATTCAATGCCCTAGGCTTTCAAGAGCCCAAGCCTTTTTTAAGACTATCCCCGCCTGCCTCAGATGAGTGGTGAGAGAAATCAAATTCATCTACTGAAAAGTCAGGTTACCAAGCCTTTTTTTTCCCCCTAAGGTATGTTGGTGGCTTACAGAGCTTGGTTGGTTGACTAGAGTTGGCTTCTTCAATTATGTGTATGAGTGACGAGATGTTGTTCTCTATATGTGATGGCCTATTTAAGCTGGCCCCACTTAACTTGAAAGCAAAACAACAAGCTCGGTTTCAAGTTAAATGGGGTCTTTCTTCAATAGGCCACCCCATATATAGACTTTGCAAAGACATTTTGTATAGTTAAACAAGTGCGCCGCCTAACTGTGATATTCTGTGTGTATGAATCCATGATTTGGCTTCTCCTTAGCCATGTTCTTGGTTCAGGTAGGTCTAATAGTTATCCAGGCTACCATCATGAGAAAATTCATCTTACTTGGCATTCCTTTGGCTCCTTAATCCTCTTCTGGGCTAGAAAGAATGAATAGCTTTCATCCAAGCAACAAGAAATAGGGGCAAGCTCAGAAGCCACAACACCAAGTGATGGAAGGACACATTGGGTAAGTACAAGAGAGGACCTGAGAACAGAATCCTCCGTGGCCCAAAGGGCATGAGAACTATATTGAAGCATGTAAGATCCACTCTTGTACGAGCAAGATACCATAGGCTTCTTAAGGTGAAGAGCAGTGTTTCCCAACCACAGGCCAACAGACAGGCAAGCCAAAAATTTTCTCCTTCAGAGACAATGGTTACACCTCTGTTCCTCTTTCTCCCTCTCCATTCCTCAGGATCCTGACGGAAAAGTTAGTTTGCCAGTCTGCACTATAATATAGACTTGGAAACACTGGTACAGAGCAGTTACAAAGAAATAAATTTAAAAACAACTTTTTTCAGCACATAATCTTACCAGGCGTTGGTGAGGTCTTTACTATAAAACCTTGATTAACCCGAACTCACCTAACTGGTACCCCAACTAACTGAACTCCCCCCCCCCCAGTACTCCACATTGATGAGAAAACAGCAATAGTACCAAAAAAGAAGACTGCAAGGAATTGATTTTTTTTTTAAATCACTTGCCAAGTGATGACCTGTGGTTAGGTCACATTCAGCTCTGTCTCCTGTATCTTCTCTCCATCTGGATTGACCCGCAAACATTAGAGAGCTGCTTCCCTGAGGCAAGAAAGTGGATACAAGCATTTTGAGAAAAAAATGTTATTGGCCAAGAATGAAACAAAATGAGTATTCTTAATGAAATTTCCATTCATCCCTTATGGATTCCAATTAATCAAGGTTTTACTATGTGTCAAAAACCAGTAACTTCCTTTCCCACCAGTATGAACTGATGACCTTGACAGTTTAGCCAAGCTTTTGGCTCCTTTGAGTTTTGCAATGGCTAACCTGATGCCTAGAGTATTTAGCACCTTCTTCCTGGTCTTTTGCTCATGTTTTTAGCAGACCACAGAGAACCTAATTATAGCATTCAAGTGAGTTGCAGAATGAAAATTAAGCTGGATTGGATACATTGTTCTATGATTCATCGTTCATAATCAGCATGGTTAAAAGGAGCCATGGACTGTATCAAGATGACTCTAAAATATCCACATGATGCCAAGTACCCAGAAGTTTTCAAATGACCAGATGTTTGATGTTACATAAACAAAAAAACTGCCTGAATTTTAACTTTTCACCCAAATGTGTTGGTGTCATGAAGACCCCTAAATCTTTAGACCAGCTATTTGCTAATTACAACGAGCAATCAAGCTTTTTTTTTTTTTTACCTCAGTTGATACTGCTGCAAAGTCAAGTAACTTTATTGCCAGCCCATGATTTCCACATTATCTGATTTTTGATATGTAAATGGAAAACTATTTCAGTAGATACTAAATATTTCCAACTTCTTTGACCATAATGCTACCTGCCAGGGATCTTTCAAATCACTTTTTTTGGTCATTACTCCAGCCAACCTTTGAAATGTCAACCCCTTTCTCAACTACGGATAATAGTATGATGAGTGCCGCAAATCCAACGATCGCTTATTCTGTTTCTGGATTATCAAGGAGCTTGCCTTTATCTTCTTCCTTCTTGCTATCTGCTGTTTTCTGAGAGTGAGCAAGAGAAGGGGCAAGAGATGAACTTGAATCTGCTTTACCACTCGTTAGTGGTAATGCCAAAAACAAATCAATGAAGAAGAAGGTAGAAAAGGCAGTGAAACCTCATTAATTTGGAGCCCTCTAATTTATAATTTGTGACAAACTGGACAGGGGCTACAGTCTACAGTCTAACTTCATCAGGGTTGTGGCCTAGAGAGGTTTGTTAAGCAAATGGAGAGTTTAGACTAAATTGTCAGTTGAATTTTTCCTTAAGAGAACAAACGTTTTGCACATGTTGGAAGCATTTACTACATATAATCATATTCATTACAAATCTATCTGCTAAAGTAGTTCTCAGGAGGACCTCCACTAAGGCAATGTTTTATAGTGAGTTTGAATTACAAAATAGACTTAAAGTAATAAAACTGTCATACTTCAAACCTATTTTGTAATTCAACACTTTCTCATTCAGACATCCTTCCCCTCTGTTAGTCCAAATCAGTGAAGTTTAACTGCATTAGTAAAACGGCTTGAGAATTACACTTCTTTGTTGTATCCCATCCCCAGTTAACATGACAATTGACTGTCGAATATACCATCATTAAACAAAGAGAATGAGACCCAGAGATGGTGATGACTTTGAGAAGGTCACACAGCTAATGCTGTCACAGATCTCTGCTCAATTTCAGGGTCACCTCTTGTGATAATATTGCAGACAGCAATTCATCACATCTGCTCATCCAATGAGCAATGTGAATCTGATTGCATGTGATATATTTCCATACAAATCAGATTCATTCTCAACTACCTCGGTTACAACGAGGCAAATGGCATGTTTAAGCCATGCCAGCCCTCAGTACCGATTACTAAAGACGACAGTAATCACAAAGCCTGACATTTATGAGTGCTTTTACTTTTTCACAAACACTTCCACACCTATTATTTCTGAAAGCAGGAGAGGGAGAAAAACCTGTGTTACTTATCTCTCTGTCTCTCTTCTGCAACATTTAAATAATGATAAATGGGCAATTATGTTAAATTGTTGACTTTCCCCCCTTGCATGAGACATTACACATTCTAAGCCTACTCTCAAAAAGTTACTATTCTATGGAAGGAACCAGCAACTTTTCAGGCTGTTTTAAATGTGCATATGCTTAAACTAATGAAATAGGTTTTCATTTTAATTTCTGAATACAAGGAATTAAGACAAGGTCAGCCAGTAAGGTAGGCCCTGAACCAGACCTACAGGCTAAAACTAAAAACCAGCTTGGTTTTACCAATTTCCTAAACCTGGGCTAACAGAGCCTAAACAAATCAGACTTGACGTTCCTTGATGGACTATAAATACGCAGGCAAGGATCATGGAAATTAGAGCTGTGGTTTGGGAATTTTTAACCTGCAAATCACCCTTTTGTGTTAGTGCTTTATTACAATGTGTGTGCAAATGCAGTAATTAAGAGCCAGTAGGTTGTTTCAGCGATAAACTCAGATCACCAGGGGTTTGTGACACAGCCAGGGAAAGTCTGTTGCTGTGAATCACAGCAGAATGGGGATTTAGCTGGTGAATTACCACATAAGCACATCAGCCTCCCTTCACAGCTGCCTGTCTCCTCAAACTTTCCAATTCTTCTGATCTCCCCCCCGCCCACCCCGCGCTTCCTTCCCTTAATCTTGGGAAAGGGACAGCAGCTTAGCTTTCGTGTGTAGTCTTACCTCACTAGAGGAGGTCTGGTCAGTGAAACAAACTATCTGTGACTGGGTGACAAGGTGTTATAAACCCTACTCCACCTCACCCCGGAATTGCCCTGGCTGTAGTTCTATCCAGGGATTTAAATAGACTTCCAGCATCCATATTTTCCAAGGTGAAAATCAGCACACTGTGTGCTTTGGGGAACATTGGAACAGCATGTTTAAATGGAACCATTCAGAAACCCTTGACTGCAATGAGAGTTGCACAACATGTGCCTTAGCTTGTAAGGTGTGTGGGGAAGTAAGGGATGAGGATGAGGATGGGACAGCAGTTAAACTCCCATTAATTAAATAAATGGTTGGATGATCTTTATAATTTATAGAACATTGATAGAGAATATTGATGCAGTTTTATTATCTTTAAATATAGGGATTAGAATAAACTAGCCAACGTGATTCTAGGAAAGAACTTAGGGAACTTGTTTTAATAAATTCAAAAAATGGCTTGCAATTAAAATTAGTTGTGTTTTCTTTCACATGGGTGCTTTTAAAATACCCAAAAAGAGTTTGTTCTCTTAAGAAATTCAAACATGTTCCTATTCCTTATCACTAGCAATCTTTTTTTAAAATCCCGTGCATTTGCTTAGCAAGTCTTCTACTGAAAGACAGTGAAAAATTATACTTTAGGACAGCCCATTTCCAAATGCCCTCCGCTTCCTCTTTGGTGGTGCATAGATGAATGAGGTGGTACTGTGTTTTCCATATGTATAAATGAGATCTTCAGTTTTGTGTGTATTTCTTCTTCTTCCATGTATGTCTACAATTCTCCTCTCCTATGCCACCGTCTCTTAACCACTTCTCTTCCACACCCAGAATTCTTTGACATTCTTGGGCCTTGGGTAATGGATGTGAATCTGCATCTGCCTTTTACCTGCAACAAGATGGACCTTTTATTGGCAGGAGCCATCCCTAAAGGTAGACATTTTGGATACCCAGGGTTAAGATGGATCCCAATGACTCTTTATTGACACTGTTATGTGTGTAGGCAAGAATCATTACAGATCGATGGCACTTCCTGGGTCTTAGAAGAAGTTCCCGTGAATCACCGAGACTGGTTTGAGATCGAGGAGTAGGGTGAGTATATTATGCTCTTCGTTGGTTTGCATGTTTCTGTGCTGGTGCTGCCTCCTGGAAGTATGAAGAACCTGACGGTTTTCTTTCCTAGTAGTGACTAAATTTGCTCCTTGAACTTACTCAGGTCTTCCTCCCAAGAGCAAACCCTCACTTTCTCTCAAGTGGCTGCTTCAAGCAAGGGACATTTTTGCCTTAAGAACTGAACCAGTCCAGTGACTGCCAAAACCATTGATTTTGCCAGATGGTGTTAAAGAATAAATTCTACCACCGGAAAAAAAAATTGTAATCCAGAAAGAAAACATGTTTAAAAATTAATCCATCTAGTGATTTTTTTTTAACTGACTGCGTGGCCTTAACATGGTTTCTATGATTAGGACATGATTATTTGCCTTGGGTGTTATCCTGATAACTTGAATGTGTTTCTTATTGACAAATAATGACCAAATATCCAACAACAGAGCTACAGAAAGAGGAGCAGGAGTGAAAAGCCTGAAGGTAAGAATGCTGTTATACAATTACCAAGAGGAAAGACGCCGTTGCAGGGGCAGAGTGAAATGGTGTGTGTCTATGCCCTTTCTGCCTCTCTAAGACCAAATCATTTGCTTTCCTTTCACTTGGAGAGAAGGTTATAGAACCACACTCTCTGAAAGGTAGGACAACCATGTAAAAGAAACACAAAAGATTTGAAACGATTGAAATACATTCAATGAGGGTGGGAGTTAAGATTGGTGGAACAGGGTGGGGGCAGATTTCTTTTATGGAGAACAATTGAAATCCATTCTCTTTTGACTTTCTAGAGAGCGGTATAGCATTTGGCCCTTGGCACATGAGACAAATCCTCATTGGTCAGAGCTGGCAAAAGTGTGGTCCAAGTGCTAAATTCACCTTAAAGCTTAATTTCATCTGGCCTTGAAGCAAATATTTCTCAAAATATAGACATAAGGCAATACCATACTTTGCATTTGAAAAAATAGAGAGAGACAGTAAGAGAGAGAGAGACTGACTCTGCTAGTATGTCCTGTCTGGCATCACTGCTGGAAATGCAGATAAGTGGATGCTAGAGTGTGCGCTCCAAGAGGGTGGTATGTGCCCTAGCATGGCAACCAGATCTTTCTGGTTTCAGATCTGATATATAGACCCCATTTGTTGCAATCTATTGGCGTGTAAGCTAAGACTGATTCTTTTTCTATGGGTCATGGTCAAGGGAGGGCTATATGGGAAAAAAGAAGATGCTGGTGCCCATCAGATTAAACTCCAATGAATATTTTCATTCAGGCTAGAGTCAGGGGAATGAACTAGATATCTTCAGAAACACTTGTCATGTGAGTTTCTGGTAAAGATCAGTTTCTATCTTCTCAGTCTATGCTCTCTTTCTTGATGTGATTGGGATAAACTAAAGAAAACACATTTATAAATAATAAAACCCAAACAAATTTGATAGTTTGAATTTTTAATGGATCTTAAAACAGAGTTTTCAAGTGAATAATATAAATTTTGTACTTGGGAAAGTATCTGTGGCCACATTCTAACCAAAACTGGCTTCTCCAGAAGCTTAGCATCTTCTCTGAGCCCCTTCTCTCTGTCAGGGACAAATTGAGAAAGAAGTCTTCCCAGACAGATTGGGTTATGTGAGGTAGTCCACAATCAATAATGATTTTGGATTCCTGTTCTAGAGGAGGAGGTTGGACAAAGGCCCAGTTTGGCAGAAATCCATCAGTGAAATTCACAACCTGTGGGATCAAGGGATCTAATACTTTGAATTCGAGAGGTTATCATTTGGAAATGCACTCGATTTACCCACATATCTCCAAGTGACTTCTGGGTCTGCTTCTTTAGCACAGATGCTCATCAATAGGTTTCAATCACTAGCATTGTTAAGCCCGTAGTAAAATGACTCACAGCTTTCAACTCCTAATGTCATATGCATGCATTATTAAATTTGCTCTTTGCACTTACATTAAATTATGATCTCATTAGCAAGGAGTTAAATAGGTTTGAGCTACATTTGTGAACTACATAGATATAAATAGTCTCTCAGAGGGAGCTTCTAGCAGCTAAGCACTGCATAACAGCAAATCATTGTAGCTGCCCCTGTGGAATGAGGGTCGCTTGAGTGGCCAAAGTCCAGTAATGCCAGCAATCATATGTGCATGCTCCCAGGTTGTGGAGAAAGCTCGGGCTGACCCAAGGATAGAAGGATTGAAATAACTTAAACCCTCATTCTCTTATAATCCTGCATCCAGAAACTCCGGTGAAAAGAAATGGATAGAAAGTGTTTTTAAAGGGCTGCAGACACTAGTGTAGTCTAGGGCATATTTTGAACTGCCACAGCCTCCAACAGCTACTAAATGAAGAGGTAAATCCCTTCACTATACATTTCCCAAGGTAATCTACAGAAAATAATACAGAAGTCCTTAAAGTAAATCCTTTCATCCAGCAAAGAATCTTCTCTTCCTTGGTCATCAATTGGCTTCAACTTGATAAATCAAGACCCACCTGTGCAGAGATGTCTGTAGTTGCCTGCCTGTACATGCCTGTGATTTCCTGAGTGATGCTAGGAGTTCTCCAGAAAAGGCTAGGGAAGCAAGTGAGCGATTGGGAAAGATGGCTTGTCACCATGAAAACCTGAAATATCTTCAGTAGAAAAGCCAGTGAAAGTGAGGATGGCCTTCTTCCCTCCACTGGGCCAAAGATAATTCTCAAAAGTTGTTCAAAAGAATCACTAGGTACAAAGAAGCAAGTATTAGTAACTTGGAGTGAGGTTTGGATGAGGAATAGGGTGACAGGGTGGGCTTCCAGCTTAGGTTGTGCTAAGTTTCCATTTTCATTACCCAGGTATTGTGTTGTTAGAGCAGGTTTCTAATTAACTGTGCAAATACACCACCCTTGCTCATATATTTCTTTTACTTCTCTGTGATCTCCTTGTCTTTCTCCATAACCTATATATTTGCATATATATCTATCCCTCCTAAGAGCATCACTGAAGATCTTATGGCATCATTAATTAAACAGACATTTGCTCTTTAGATGTCCCTGCTCAGAAAGGAGAAATAAAGGCACTTAGAGCAGAATATCTTAGTCTCTCAGACGGACAAATTGTACTACACCCTGGGTTTCTATATTTTGCAAGCCCGGAGCCACATCCATAGTACAAATTCTTATCTCAACCCTTCCAGGATCACAATGGTAGAATGGAGGAATCAACTTAGTCATTAATTCACAAAGCCATTTTTACTTCTTTTCCGCTATGGGGAAACTCAGCACCCTCACATCACTCTCTCCACATTTCTTTGTTCATAAGAAAGAATCCAACATGGCTCCAAACTACCTATGTTAGGTATTTCCTGAAATCAAAATTGAAAAATAAATTGGACAGTTCTTTAGAAACATATCAAAAATGTTACTTTGTTTTTTTGGAATAAACAGTTTGTACTTTCACAGGAAAAAAATGGTCTTCTTATCCTAAAGCTGTCTCCATATGTAATGTTGGCTATTGCTAACATAACTTTAAACTTTGAAATGGGGGTTTGGTACCTCCCAGGAGCGAGCCGGGAACCTAGACAACTGCCACCTGGGGCTGGATGCCTGGGATTAGTGAGCACAGTCCTTTGTAGCTGAGTTACTGCCAGGTGTGGATGGCAGAGATAAGCAAAACTTTGTATCACCCAGTTATGTTTTCTTCAAAAATAGAACTCATTTTCAAAGCATTATGAATTACAATACTACCCCTATTAAGAAAAATAGATACCACTCAATGACTGTTCCCTACGCTCAGGAATCATCATTCTGCCACAGGTCAGCACTACCTTCTCATCCTTTTCAATGACTATATAATTCACATTTGCTCTTTCTCTCTCCATCTGATCAACAACCCGTATACATTTTTATGATGTAGATGCAGTAAACCATTTTCTTCTTAGGAGAACTTTATATTGTTTTCCCTCCTGGACATTTTTTAAACAACATGGAATAAAGAGTTGGGGTTTGTAAATAGTTACTCTTTGCTTCATTTCTCATTTCTTAGGAAGCTTTGTATTTTAACAAGGAATGTTGCTCAAACTTAAAGGTTTGCAATTCTCATGGTGGAATTTCAGGTACCAGTGAGGATAATATTTTCGGACAGGGGGACGTTCCCAGACCCCGTGAAATTACATCACACAGCTCTCCTGTTCTCTCCCTAAGCCTGCTGACCCATGCCTTTGACTTGGGAGGGCTCTACACAGCAAAAGTTCATAGCAAGCCCTTCAGAAGGGAGAATACCTGACTAATTTCCATGATAGGAATCTGACCTAATTTGTTTAATTCTTTCTATTCTCTATTGAGGTGAGTACAATAAATATTTTTGACTTATAATTCTCTTAGGTGCCAGTTAAGGGCCTGCAGTAATTGCTCTGGGACATTCTCCTGGAGACGTGTTGCTGCGCCACCATGAAAAGCCCCAGCTGCAAGATATGCCCTTGCCGGGTTGATAGTTTTTTGGAGTATGGTGGTCCCCAAAGAAAAAATTCGTTATGAAACATCCAATCCTGAAGAATAAAAATAAGGAGGGCTGCTACCCTTTTGTGTGTTCCACTGGAAAATGCACAGTACAGAGTTAGACATATTAATTTGCCTTCTGGCCTGCCCCATAATTTGTTGTGCAGGCTTGAGTAAATTGCTTAACCTATCTGTGCCTCAATTTCTTTACTTATAAAGTAGAGATCATAAATCTGCCTTCTTAGAGTAATCATTAAACTTGACCAATAATGATTATTATTATCATAATTAGGCAAAGTACTAAGCCGAAAAACAGAATACTAAAGGAGAGTTATCTGTTCAACAAGTATTTATTTAGAGAACTATTCTAGGTGGGGATACAAATACAATAGCCATTGAGAAGCACACAGTATGGTGGGAATTATAAGACATGGGCATAAATAATAAGGCAAGGTAGAATATGAGGGAAAGGAGAGAAAATATTGGAGTGGTGAGCAAAAATGGCTTCATGGAGAAAGTGACATTTAAAATGACCAAATGCCCACCTTCCACTTCCTTTAAAATACTAAAGTGTGTGTATGTGTGTGTGTGTGTGTGTGTGTGTGTGTGTGTTGGACGGAAGGTGTCAATACATTCACTTGCTTTGGATTGGGCTAGGCAATACATCCAGTAAGGTACAGTAAGAGAGAAAATTATGTAGATAAAAGCAATTTTTCTCTGCCATTTTGGGAATTTATTCCACCCCACAGCAACGTACAGTTCTAGGAGATTTGGCCTTTAAAATACTTTCTTTTCTTGGCAGCTATCCTAACCTTGTTAAGCGGTATTATCTGTGATTTCTGATTACAGCTTTTATGCTCCTTGGCTGTGCTGCTGCTTGAAATGTTTGTTTTTCTCCTTCATTTTTATTTAAAAGTTCCCAAAAGCACATTGGTTCCCTGCCAGATTTCATAAGCCCTGTGACTTTTTTCCCAAAGACTAAACTTCTAGGAATATATCATTTGTCAGATTTCTCTCAAGTCCTGGGGCATCAGATAAGGTCTGGATGCTCTAAGGCAGGGTTTCTCAACCTCAGCACTTTTGACATCTGGGGCTTTGTTGTAGGGGGCTATCCTGTGCCTAGTAGGGTGTTTAGCAGCATCTCTGGCCTCTAGCCACTAGATGCCTATAGCACACACACACACCCAGTTGTGACAATGAAAAATGACTCCGGACATTGCCAAATGTCCCCTGGAGGACAAAATAACCCCCGATTGAGAACCACTGCGCTAAGGTGACCTCCATTGCAACTGGGGAGGCCATGAGAGTGGAGAACAGTACCAGCCATTCTGTGGAGACCACTGGGTGACCTAAGGAATAGATAGGGCATTTGTCGGAAATAGAATGCTAAATTGCTGACATACTGAGCCTGGGTTTTGGCAAGAGTGGATGGTGGCAGCCTAGAATAGGCCCCAGCTCAGGAAAAGCCTTCCCTCCTCAAAAAACCAGTGCTCCTAAAGCTTTTTTGTCCCGGGACCTCCTTCCACACTTAAAAATTATAGGGAACCCTCAAAAGGTTTGTTTATGTGTGTTATGTCTATTAATATTTACCAGATCAGAAATTGAAACTGAAGAACTTTAAAAGAATATATTCATTAATTCATTTAAAAAATAATAAACCCTATATATGCTAACGTAAATAACCTACTCTTGTGAAAAATAATGATATTTTTTCCAAAACAAAAATAAATTAGTGAGGAGTGGATTTGTTCTATGTTTTTGCAAGTCTCTTCAATATCTGGCTTAATATAAGAGAACAGGATTCTAATTTCCGCTTTTTCATTCAATCTGTTGTGATATCACATGTCATGTAGCCTCCAGGAAACTCCACTGTACATCATGAGGTAATAAGAGTGACAAGAGCAAGGAATATCTTAGTACTATTATAAAAATAGTTTCGACTTTGCAGGCCCTCTGATGAAAGGTTTCAGGGATCCTCCAGGGGTTCTTGGACTACACTTTGAGAACCATTACTCTAAACTAACATGTCGCACTTTTATCAACCTAGCTCAATTAAGGGTTGACAAAGTTCTTTAAAACCCAGGATCTCTAAGGAGAGATCTCTATTTGGACCTCATTGTGAGTGCCTTTAATCAGACTGCTCTGTTCCTGAGATCTAGTAAGAGCAGCTGTACTGAAAAATGGAATGAAGTAATCTGAAGAACATAGTACCTTGAGGGAGGACATGGGCTGGTAAGGGCTTAGTCAGAGAGCAGCATGAGGACACTGGGCCCTTTGCGATAAGAAAAGAGGAAGCACAGAAAGGAGGAAGGAAATGCTTTGTACTTTTTCCTGTGGTCCCAATGAAATCAGTTACCCATACGCCATTGGAAAGCATCTCCCTGCATTCTTAGCTAACTGCCATCATCCTGAGCCTGGATGCCAGTGCCTAGCTTAAGGGATAGCACTGGGGAAGAGACGGTGGTGATAAAACCAAAAATTATCAGGGGAAAAGAGAGAAGGGGAGCCAGACAGTGGGGATTAGGGGAGAAGGCAGTTCTAACACTGATCTCAGGGCCATAGATGGCCTGTCTGTCCTTTAAAAGTCTAAGACTTAAACTTTCACTGCCAATAATATCTTTTTTTTCAATAATATCTTAAAAAGGCTCAAAGTTTTATGTGACTATTTTTTGTTGCTTTGCATTCCAAGCAACTCTGGTTGGCATGTGAGAAGCCTACGTTTCTGAGCATTGATTGAAGGAACTTTAAAGTATAAAAGGACCACAATTTCCTAGTGAGATAGATACAAAATGCAGATATTCTGGCTGCCAAGCCCTGCACTAACCAAGAAAGTGTCACCTCCCTGACACTAAGGGTTTATAGCTTTTTAAATCTCAAATGCTCTGAAATTGCATATTATTTTTAAATGATGGTACATTTCTCAGAATATCTCAAGATGAAATGGTCCCTTTGCTCTCAACAGCAAAGGGTCAGGGGTGGGCAGGAAATAGGCTTGGGGACTTGGTCTGATAGAGGCCAGATCTCTGTGACTGTAGTAAGTCTTGTCAATGACTGGATATGTTGGTGGTTCCAACTTATCCAAAATAAGCTAAGAAATTCTACAGCATGTTCATAGTTACATAAATGTGTCTGCTTTCCTCCTTGTAAATTAATGGCATTCAGAATAACATGCACTGGTGTTGGCAATATTGTTCACATGAATCTGAACACACAGTAGTTTATTGCCTCATAATAGAATTATGCCACCCTCTGTATACAATGCATTTTTCAATCCAAAGTTATTAGAGGTACTTCATTTAAGATTCATTAGCTCTAGAAAGAAGAGAGGGTAAAGGTCATTATTTCCGTTTTACAGCTGAAGAAATTTCTAAGAGAGAAAATCTTTATCCTAGGACCAGTAGGGTTTCACGTATTTGCCCAGTGGCTCCAAATGCAGTCCTCATACTTTAAGAGGTGGAGCACTAGGGAGCTGTGGCCCGGCCTCCTGGGGATGTGTTAGCCTCTTACTCGTGGAAGTCTTATCTCACTGGAGCAGCCTATCTAAACTGTTCCTCTACAGTGCTACCCACAGTGGCAGAGTCACTTTGCCATTTTAGGTCATGCTGTATTAATAATCCATTTTTAAACAGTCTGGTTCACCTCTGATGATCTGAGTTAACCACAGACATATGACTGTATCAGGGAGACAGCCAGTCAGTAACTCAAAAACAATCCATAGGCCAGTTCTCTCACTGTTGAAAGTATTCCTCTTATCCAAAATTCAGAGGTCCACATTATACCTTTAATACTAAGACCAGTACGTGCGTAAGAATTCAGAGTTTGTGAAGACATGTATCATTTTCACCTGGGCAACAGATTTGTGAAATAAAGAACAACTAATCAGAGGGTGTTTTATTCACATAGCATCTATTTTCTATTCTGTTCGGATTCATCCTCTTGTCTCATTCCACATATGGAAATGCTTCCCCTTCTGACCCCGTCCCCTTCCCTACTCCTCCATAGAACTTGCTTTCTGTCTGGAAGTACAACAAGACACCCAGTTAGATCAAACCTAACACACCTCCGTCACAAAGCTACCGCAAGCTGCCGCCAACGATTGTCACTTGAGGGGAGACCCTCCTCACTACACGCAGCCTATCTGAGGAGTGCCTTTTTTTCTATCCTCATTATTTAACAGTGTGTGCCGATTACTCAAAGCGATATGGGCAGGCCCTGGTAAATATAGCGTTGCTGTAGTGTTAACTTTTATAAGGTAATGCTCAGGTTGCCTGCAGTGTCTAAAATTACTCTGTGGCCAGGGCCCCCTGCTTTATCGCTTTCTATAGTTTTAAAGTAGTTTGAAGCTTGAATAACATAAAATAACATAATATAATGTTATTTATGTTATTTCCCACGTGAAGAACGCCTGTAAACCTTGCAGTATTGAAACTCAGTGAACAAGGCATCTTAGACAAGCTGAAAAACAAATGGTGGTACGATAAGGGGGAGTGTGGAGCCAAGGACTCCGGGAGTAAGGTCAGTCGCTGAAGGTCTTTTTGTACTGATTAGCAATCACATTTTGAACCACTGTTTATTTTCTACCCTAAAACGGCTTTCCTTCCCAACACACACTCCCTAACACAGTGGGACCCCTTTATAACACCAGCGCTAAAGGAATAAGGCAAACACTAGCCTCAGAGGCATGCCACATGACGTCAGTCATTGACTCCACAGAGCTACCGTTGTGATAAGGAAACTCAGTCTGGCCCACCACATTTCCAAAGCTGTAAAATAATGAGCTGTGTTATAAGGGGGTTTTACTGTATTTCACATTTTGAAAGTCCAAAGAGAAAATCGAACAACAACAACAACAACCAAAAAAATGAAAGATCCAGTTGTGACAGTACTTTTTCTTAACCTCTTACAGTGTCAGAGACTTTGTAGTAAACACCTTTGGTTATTGATATATTATGTCGATCCCATCTGAAAACAGTCAAAGAAATAACAAAGACTAGTCTCTGTAAGTAGAATGATTAGCCTCCTCCCAGCTGCTGTCGTTTTGAGTTCAGCCTCTATTTGGATCTCGAATCTCATTAAGTCTGTCACAGTTCTCTCTTCCAAAGGTGTCATTTGAATCTCTGTACATAATACTTTTAGAATTTAGTCGCATGCTCCTTAAGGGTACACATTGTCAGGATAACATCACATTGATAAGCATGAAACACTCTTCCCCGCCTCCTTCCTGCCCCCCTTTGCTCCCCTAAGAAAGTTCTTTTCAGTTTCAATTTTTGCCTTTCCTTTCTTTGAACTAATATTGTGGTATCGGTTAATTCATTTCATGAAATGCCACTCATTTTCCCTGTGCGGTGAACCATTTTGCTACTGGTTTTCTACATCCTACAACAGGGAATTCTGTGAAACAAATATATGGAACCTGAAACTGTTCTTGTTGCTACAGCTTATGTGGGTTACGTCAAAGGACACCTTTTCCCCATCAAATATCACATACATATAAAAATCTAATGGGAGAGGGAGGGTTACCAGAACTGGGTCCATTTCCTCATGGACTGTGGAACAGCCTTGCAGATAGCCTCACCAGCCTCCTTAAGGTGATGATTCATTTTCTCATAAGTGACAGAAATTCTTACCACTTACCTAGCTGTCATTCATCCTAGAAGAGTGACTATTTGCAAGGTTGTTATAGAGAGGAGGCACACCCATATCCCCCTTCCCTACCATGCCATTCAATTCCAATTGGCCTGTTTATTAAGGTGAACAAGTACAAGCCTGGCTCCCATGAAAATAGAATCAAGACATGGCCATATCATCTTTAAATCATACCAAGACTAGCTGAGCCACGAGTATTGAGTATCAGCAATGGCCATCATCTACTCACTGTGCTATCATTTGAATAAGATACTCAATTGAATGACTTAACAATTTGGGTATTCCATCCAATTGCATTCAGCAGCAAAATGGTTACACTCCCTCTAAAAAGACTACAAAATGCTATTTTATTTTATTTTTTTCAAAGAAAGGCTCCTGGCCCTTGGTGTGTCCTACCTCAAGGTAGGGCTCAAAGCACCAACTTTTCTCTTTCCATTGTTCAGCAGTTCAGTTTTTGCTTTTTCATACAGACAGATAGCTTAGTCAGATTTGCTGTTTGACCTGAAATTCACTGATGGGCTTCCTCAATTTCCCCCCCCCCCCCATTTTAAATAGAAAGCAGAGACGTGTAGTATATTTTAAATTATTCATTACATTCCCTGGAGTAAAAGCTGAAAATGAGCTGGATTTTTGTTTTAATCATCAGCCTCCTGGAAAACCTTTCTGATGTGTATGGAGCCAATTCAGGACCCAATGGGTCCTCCTGACAATTTCCTTCAACTCTCAGGCAGATGGAAGGGTGCCAAGTCTTTGTGCTGCACCCTTGTTCCAGCAACACAAAGACTTGCTGCCCTGAGGATATGTATTTATCAGCTGGTCCCCAAAGGGAACAATTTCTCAGCCACTGGGAGAAAAGGGAAATTTAATCCTTTTTAAACAAACCCTGTGAAATAACTCCCCAGACAAGAATATCAGGACTCTCTAATATTCTCACCTGGTGTCTTAAAGACTGGTTGTTGACGAGTTTGTCACAGGGAGAACAAGGAAGAAAGGGGTGTTGCGGGGCAGAGAGGGGAAAGAGTGCTTCAAGTTCCCAAATGAAAAGAGTGTTACATTTATAGAGATTATGTCACTGCTCAACTCTGGCAAATGGTGTTTATTGAGGCTGGTTTATTGTGCTTGTGTTTACTCTTTTGCTCCCATGGCCAAGTGCTGTGTTTTATTTGGTTATTGACACCATTTTGAGGTACTAGAGGATTGAAAGAGTCAAAATAAAGGAACATTTAGGTGAGGATTACAAAATCAACAGAAGCACAATCTACCATCTTGCTGGCCATTGTGAAACATCAGGCAGTTGCCAGAATTGAATCATAACACATCAATGTTTAGTTATTTTACAACTTAGAACTATCCTATACTGTTGTAATGTATTATAATGTCCCATTGCCTTTGTTTTCCCCAAGAACTAATCACGTTGTTCATTTCTCTTAGGACAAGACCAGCGCTCTGAGCCTGAGCAATGTGGCGGGCGTTTTCTATATACTTGTCGGAGGTCTGGGGCTGGCCATGATGGTGGCTTTGATAGAATTCTGTTACAAATCACGGGCAGAGTCCAAACGCATGAAACTCACAAAGAACACCCAAAACTTTAAGCCTGCTCCTGCCACCAACACTCAAAATTACGCTACATACAGAGAAGGCTACAACGTGTATGGAACAGAGAGTGTTAAGATCTAGGGGTACGGTTAAGGTCTAGTAAACTAATCAGCCTTACATTACTGTTTGTTAATCTCTTTCTTTTTTCTTCTTTCTTTGTTTTTTTGGTTTGGTTTATTGTTTCAAGCATTGTCTACTCTTTGCAACCATTTGATTCTTTGAAAACAATGGTTGTGCTTTCTTATTAGGCGGTGGTGCTTTCCTAATAGCATAGTTGTTATTAAATTGTGGTCTGTGACCCAAAAGGGAAAAAAATTCTCTAGAGCAGTGCTGTTCAACAGAAATATTTGTGAGTCACATATGTGAACCACACATGTAGTTTTAAATGCTCTAGTAGCCACAGTTTAAAAAGTAACACGAGTGAAATTAGTGATATATTTTATTTAATCCAAAATATCATTCCAACATATTATCAGTATAAAAATGATGGGACGTTTTACATTCATTTCTTCATACTAAATCTTAACAATATGGGGTGTATTTTATACTTATGGCACATCTCCACTCATACTAGCCACATATCAAGTGTTCAATAGTCACATGTGGCTAGTGACTACCGTATTGGACAGTGCAGCTCTAGAGAAAGCAGCTGCTCTGGTGCTGATGTTACAGTGAGGTATGAAAGTGGGGCACTGCCACCTGGAGAAATGTAGTGTTTCCACAGGGGAGTGGTGGTTCTCTTAAGTGTAAGCTTGAGACGATTTCTTTAATCTTTGAGTTCCTTTGTTGTCCCTTTCTTGGAACTGATGTTCAGGTAAGTGTCTCCCAAAGAACAGTCTAGGCTCCCTGCTGCTGGCTGCCCTCAAATTCATACTTAGATGAACCTAACTGATGCCACCTTGACTCTGGCAGCTACAGCCACATCCTCCCCCCGCCCCACCTCCAATAACTCAGACGTGTTCAAAGGCAAGCTTGAATTAGGATAACATCTCCATTCTGGAAGTGTTTAAAAGAATATAGTCTTGTTACCTTCAAGTACATCTGTCATCACTAACACACCTATCTGAAGTGGAACAGGATAATTAGCAACTTCATAGCCCTTATTTTAGGGGGGAGATTTTTTGCGTCAGTGTCAATGTGCTTGCATTTCTACAAATGCATTTGTATTTTGACCTCCTTATATTTCACATTGTAGATCTAAATTCAGCCAATTTTAAATAATATTTCTTCTGAATAAATCATGCGTCTTCACCATGGAAAGCATTATCTTGTTTGATGAAGTTGCTGGTTGTTCCTTCCTGCTACAGACTGGGGCCTTTTGCCACAACATACTCAGTACGCTGAACTAACCCACTAACAAAGTGTTCCCATTGCACTGTAGAATGTATAATACATGAATTCATCTGTAGTCAGCATTGTTTGCATGCAAGCATTCAATGTTCCAGTGTGCTTAAAATATTTTACTCCTGAGTAGGTTATATAGGTCCATTACAATTTGGGGCACATTATTTGCTTTTTCATAGGATAGTACATGAGTAATTTCAGCCTAGCTTAATTATCCCAAATTCTGAGATACTGGCATCCAAAGAAATAATACACCTTAAATCTGCTTAGCAGTTTTCCAAGTGCTCTCCCATCTCATTTGAGATAATGGGTCAGAAAGTATTTTCCCTTTCAGGTAACTAAGACCCAGCCACACCAAGTTATTTGCTCAAGGCAACATAACTAGATAGTGGCAGTTCTGAGACTAGAACCCAGCCCTTCTTCCTCCTATAGCTATATTCTTTACTAAACCAGGCTGCCTCCAGCCACCCATGGCATGGTAGTCTGCAGGAACCTTGAAACCCCAAGGGGATCCTGTCAAATGGAGAGCAGATCCTAAAGCTATGTTTACAAAAAAAGTCTTGTTTACAAAAAAGTCTTGAGGGGCTTCACCGAGGCTCTGTATGCCCCACTTCCTATGTACTTGATATGAGGTTATATATTCAATCACTCCTACTTTCCCCAGAAAGAATCTTTCTGAAACAGAAGGGTATCAGGGCTCAGGGTCACATGGCCTCCAGACTCTCTTTATTATCAGCCATTCTATCTGAGAATCTAGGTCCCTACTCCCCAACTGCTGTAACCTCAGTCTCTTGTTAAAGCCCCAGAGCAGAGCTTCTCAAATGTCAATGTGCATGTGAATCACCTGGGGATCTCATAAAGGTGCAGATCCTGATTCAGCAGGTCTGGAATGGGGCCTGAGAGTCTACATTTTTCACAAG